AAGTACCCGTATGGACTCTTCCAGCGCGTAGCGAGGCCACTCCCCGGCAAGCGAGCATTTGCTCTTGAGCAAATTTACGCCAGTTGCGTTCACATGCGCACATTTGCTTCGGTGCTGCTTCGCAAACGAGCATTTGCTTCGGAGGAAATTTTTAAACCACCTCCCTGAGGTGGATCAAATTTAATGCGCACTAGGCTGTTGAGCGGCGCTACGTCGAAGTAAATTTGCACGTGTGAACGCTCCACTGGCGTAGAGTCGGTGCAGCGTCGGAGTAAATCTTGCCGTGTGAACAGGGCTTATGACACACATTCAACTACACAAGCAAATGAACAATTTGGATGTGGTCTTCTTCATTGCATTGCAGAGGTATCGGATAGGGACTCTGTACTGGCAAATACTTCATATCAAATGACTCTGACTTGAGTGCAAAAATATGTGATTGGGACATCCTTACATAAAACCCAAATTTGGGACTCCATCTTGCGTGTTCAATTGAAATGTGTCTTCCCCTCACTGCAGGAAAGTATGTCGGCAGCCGTCCCATCAAACTGAGAAAAAGCATGTGGAAGGACCGCAACATGGAGGTTGTACGAAAAAAGCAGAGAGAGAAGAAGAAGCTGGGCCTGAGATAGATAGCCTTGCATACACCACTGACATCTTGCCGCAAATGGACTATGATGCATTTTCTCCCCCGCCCCCCTTCCCTTTTTAAATAAAGTCAAATCTTTATGACGGCTGTGTTCCTTTTCTCCTGAATTCTCGACCGCTCTCACTTTTTTGCTCAGCACACAATCTAATCCAAGTTGTACATTCATAACTTTATTCAAAGCTGAGGTCAGAAAATGCAGTATTCGTCCACTTCTCTTCAGAAGTGATGACTTTGCTTCACTTAACTCATTTTCTTGAGAAAGTCGCAACCTTGAAGATGCTCAAAAAGGAGACGTAATTTTTGCACCCCATCACAAGAGCTCCCAGGTGTCTAATCACATCTGTTACACGCTTTGATGAATCTACCGCAAGGCTCAAGAATTGCAGCGCACTTTTCACTTCCTTTACACCTGTTTGAAAGCAGCTTTCTCATGCAAATGAGCCGCTACTCACTCCCAAAGCGCCTGTTCACCTGCATCCAAGATTGGGAGGTCTTCAGAGATGCATTGTAAATTAATTTGTGTATAATCTCCAGATATGACAAAATACTCTTATAAAATATAAAATACCCTTCCCAACACTGTTGTACAGTTAAGAAATATATTACAAGGTCAAGTTGTTGCCTCACCATTAAATTCCATTTCCCAATAATTCTTCTACAGCTGTCCTTGCACTATAGATGACATCATTGACGGCCACGCCATCATAGGAAGAGCCGGTCAGTGAAAGTGGAAGGCTGTTGTTCTTTATGAAGCTGCGCATGCTCTCTAAAATGACAACGCATCCACATAAAAATACTACAGAGCAAAGTGGAGCATAATCCCGAGTGAGTTCATACGTACCAACTCTACGGAAGTGCCCCTCATAATACTGAGGTATACAATCCTGATAAGAGACATACATGAACATTGATATGTAACAATTATGTAGGCCGAATATAGAAAGACATACAAAACCGAAAAAAAAAAGAATAGAACATAATTTCAAAAACTTGTAAGTTGAGGCACACTCATTGAGTAAAGGTACCACTACACAGCACTTGCTCATACCTTATGCAGAGCAACCCAACTCCAGCTGGGCGCCGAGGTGACTCCCAGGTGAAGTCGCACTGCCTCTGTGGCTCGCTCTAAAAGCTGCTCCTCTGTTACTGCATCTGGGGAGCCAAAGACTTCTTGGAACCAGGCGCCTCCCATCATCACCTAGATAACACCCACGACCACAAAGATGGACTCAAACCAAAGCGGTCAAACTCGAAAGAAAAGCTACTTCCAATAACAGCGACGGAGCACATTGTGCTCTCCATAACTTATTTCTGTACATCGGAGATAAGAAGGCAGATGCAATAGAAATGCCAGTTGGTTATATGGCTCAATCCAGAATTGGAGGACAATTGCCCCAACATATGAAATTTCGAATAACCAGATGGACAAAATGCAGAAACATGCTTTTGTGGAAATTGTAGTTGCCTTGAGAGAAAATGTAACGGTCACAATACAGTAGTAATAGTGTTACCGTCAGTCTCGTTGTGAGTCCTTCAGATCTGTTGTGTTGAGGGAAGGGGACAGAGTCGTAGACCACACCCAGTAAACCTTGATCCTCTGATGATGGAACCAAGTGTCCAAATCCCTGACGAGGGACCAACACGCATGCTTGTCGCTTAACTGTGTGAGTGCACGTTGACGTGTGCGTTAATGCCGTACTCACTGTCACAGGAAGTACAGAGCCCTCATACTGCAGATTTACGACAGCGACAGTGACACAGGAGATGTCCTGCAGCTTCTGGATGAGCGGCTGACAGGAGGACGGCAGGACAGAGGAGAGTACTGAGGGCACCACACACACACACACGCACGCACGCACGCACACGCATTTTGATTTTTATATTAAAAATGATTTTTGTAAGGTGTAGGGTTATTCTGTATCAGGGTGAGGGTTTTTTTTTTCAGTTTACAGTTTTTAGTTAGATTTTTTTACACAGCAACACTTCCTTGGCATTGGGGTGGTAAAATGATATGTTGGGACATCATTGAAGTCCTGCCTGACCTTTAGCGGGCAAAGCAGAGATGATGTGGTCAGCTGTTATGGTTCCATCCTCCAAATGGATCTGAACACAAACACACATTGTGAGAGAGAATCTGGCGAAATCCCTGAATATAAGCATGGAGGGCCGAAAACCAGCATTGAATGTTTGTTACCTTCGAACTCTCAGCTGGCATTGCATTGAAAACCAGATTCGATGTGGAAAAGATATTTTCAATAAATATATATTTGTCGCTCGAGTTCCAAATGCAAGCTAAAACTCGAGCAAGCAAAGCAAAAGCCATTTTATCAACAACGCCCGGAAACACCATCAGCTTGTGTTATAGGCATCAAATTCAAAATGACTGAATACTTGCAACAAAAAAAAAAGAAACAAAACAAAGTTTAACAGTTTGAACATTAAATCTTTGTGGTTGTAGTGTGTTTACTTGAATATATCTTGAAAAGGATTTGGGAAACATTCTTTTCTTTTTTTAATTTAGATTTGAAACCATGTCACAACTCCATTTGAATTGGGGGTTGTACATACTCAATACAGTAAAGTGCAAGGAAGCCAGGAAACAACAGCAAATATGTCTCTTCACTCACCGTCCAACCTGAAGCTGAATAACTGATGCATTTTATAGGTGTCTCTCTGTGTAGCTGCACCCTCCTGCTCCTTTGAAGAAAGTCAGTGATGGACTCTGGGAGTTCCTCCAACCCCCTTCTGAGGGACCACTGGGCCCACGACTCTTTAACAGATCTTTGGCTCAGGGGACCAGGAGGAACCACTTGGGAAGGGCCTGCAGGTTTACATCAATAAAACTTGAACATCCAATTTCCTACACATGTGCATGAAAAAGACATTTGAAAGTGGGGCGATACCAGAGCCCAGCAGCATGCCGAGCGTCAGGGAACCTCTGCGCTGTTCTGCATTGTAGAGAACGGGAAAACAGGACCGCACACTCAACTTGCGGCAATCCCCTGCAAACACCCCCCGACACAGACTGTCCACGGCAATGTCTGCAAGCTGGCACCGCCACACGCACACACACACGCACACACAGAGTTAGAATGTCACCGGTTCTAATTCAAACTGGAAGTCGCTCCCATAATCCCCCCAAGCGCTCATGGGGCATAGGAATAAGTTGGATGAAGTCTTCCTTTATCCTCACCTCTTTTCCAAGCCTTCGAGACACAAACGAATGGATGGATTCGTCCTCCTCTTTGCTTTTCTTGACAAATATCTCAGTGGCGATGCTGAACAGCAGGGGGCGTGAGAAAGGAGGCACTGTTCGGAGAAGTCCACTGAGAAAGAGCAAGATAACAGAAAGGAGAATGGGAGTGATTATATTAGGTGTAATGCATTGGATGCTGACATTTTGTAGTAGCGCAAAAGCCTTATTTCTATTAATGTAGTATCATTATAATATAGCAATAATACATCGGGAAAAAAAATGATGACCAGCACTGTGGATTAGTGGTTAGCATCTTTTGGTACATATGCATCATATGGTACATAAAGTGGTGCTTTGCGAAAAATAGCCTTCTGTAATATCGCACTTTATAAAAACGGGGTAATAACAATAAAAAGCAGTAGATGTCCCCTTTTGTCATGTTTTGTTTTGGTGAATTTTTGTCCTGTATTATCGAGAAAAACATTGATTTATTAGAAACTAAAGAACAGATCTTAACCAGGAGGGCAGTGTATTTTGTGTCTGGTAGCACAGGCAAAAGCTGAGATCCATTTGTCACAATTTCAAAGACATTCGAGGGAAAGGTGAAGCAGTTTGAGCCGGCACAATGGTGGCATAATTGGCTGGCACATCTGCCACACTGGGTTCGTAACGCCAGTCATTCTATGGGTTTTCTGGGGTATCTCTGTTGTTTGTCTCAACAGGAGTGTATAGACGTTTTATATCCATTGTACATGTAAAATATGCAGGCGAGTTTGCTATACTTTTATGAAATGTGATTTGACCTTTTCATTGAAATGCATTTTGCTGTGTGCCTTACAAATGTGAACCTTTTGTTGAAAGCAGTCTTTTACCTTATTCCTGAAGGCATCTTATGAAGTTGTTTGTTGACATACAAATATCTGTTCTTAGATGCATCATGACTGTAGGTGACGGGCAGTATCTCTCCTGAAAGACCAAGGTCCTCCACCTATACAAACACACACTACTTTGAGAAATGGGCAACAGTGCCCTGTCATTGGATTTGTCATTTTTCTCCAATGGCACTTGGTTTCCCTTTACAATGCACCTCTGGGTTCTACTTCATCTGCAAATAGTTCAGCTTTCAAGAGACTGAAATGACCAATTCCAAAAGATTCATCATTGCATTTAAATAGTCAAATGTTATTTTCTTCTTCTTATAAAAGTAAAAAAACAAAACAAAACAAAACACACACACACACACACACACACACACACACACACACACACACACACACACACACACACGTAATGACTACATTTAGGCTTACCATATTAAGGGTATTTCGCCCCACTGCCCCAGCAGGTCGAATCCCTCTGGGCCCATGTTCAAATACCCCTCCATCAGACCTCCTGGTGGACCACAGCCAACCTCCAAAACGATTGCTGGACTCCAGTAAAATGACCTTGGGAAGAAAACCACAAACGCTGCTAACGTTTGAAGGAAGTCGGCAAATGGAGAAGCATAGCAATTCGGGAAATGGATTTGTGTGCTACCTTAGCAACCTGGGGGCTTTTGCAAAGATAGTAAGATGCTGCCAATCCCCCGATGCCCCCTCCCAGGACCGCAACAGTCCTCATTGGCTGAACACAAATGAGAAATAATGACAACACTTTTAACCAAACATCAGAGACACATGGCCGTCTTGTAACGCGGTGAGCAACTATGGAAGGGTGCGACGAGACTGATAAGAATATGAAACCGTTGGTTTATCAGACGTCTCAGTCTGTCACCCGGCTGCACATTTTGCCACATACAACGCAAAACGTGCAGAAAATTTCACTGATGAAAATTGTTTGACTGTCACTGAGAATGTTCTCAGCAATATGTCCCTTTAACTTAAGATCTCAACTGTTACCAAAATAACTCACGAAAAATGGGGCTGAAATATGACTTGTTCTATCTCATGTTAAGCTGGAATTTCAGCATGTCGTGTTTTATGGAACACGCGCAGCTTGTTTCAATCGTCAGTGCAAGTTATTTAAAAAGAGGGTACATTTGCAGATAAATGAATGTTAAAACTATACTACGAGAGAACAAGTTAAACTTGTATAAACTGTCAAGGCAGTACAAAAAACGGATGGATGGACTTACGTTTATAATAATAATAATAATAATAACAATAATAATAATAATAATAAATTACCTGTCAGACGGTTAGCTTGTCCTCCACAAGTTTGAGAACCCAACCATACATTGTACTGTACTTCCCGTCGTTTCTCGACTGAGCAGGGGGAAAAAAAGAAAAAATTCCTCCGACTCTCACGACGGTGTTACCATTTATTATGTCCGGCCACCGGAAACGGAATCTCCACCGTGCCTGGTCTGTTGTCGAGCTAACGTCTTAAATCCTTCTTCCTCGCTTTCATTCGTGTTGTACTCTAAAACAGTAAAATATGTCGCCACTCAATGGCGGGCTGTGATAACTACAACAATAATTCCTGGGAAAAAAAAAAACGAACGAAAATATTCATATTCTGTAGAACTGTTGGCTCTAATAAATCCCATATCTTGTTAGAATGTGATGTGTGGAAATTATTTAATCTTTTTTTTTCCAAATATACAGTACACCACGGCTCAGCTCATGAACGCCCTTCTATCAATAACCTGGACTGCCAGTCGGATCTCGTGGGTGACGACAGAGGGAAGTCATCTTGCGTTGCCTCTATTACTGTCTATGTAAATATTTTACTTTACACAGCCCGCTGGTTGTTCGTCTCTGTGTGCCCTGCGATTGGCTGGCAACCGGTTCAGGGTGTCCCCCCCACCTACTTCCCAAAGACAGCTGGGATAGGCTCCAGCACCCCTGCGACCCTTGTGAGGATTAGCGGGCCGCCCTTGCCTTATTCTATCTTACTTTAAAAACAATTCATAAAGTTTAAACTCTTGACATTACTCAATTGTCACCCCAACCTAATTTTTAGATTAGTTTTGCCTATTTTTATTAATACCTACCTCATGGTAACCTTTTATTTTTGTGGGGCCCTAATCATTTTGCAAATTACTTGTGTTTCACAAGCTACTTCAAAATTGTTAAACCGCCTATCAATTCTTCAACAAATACGTGAAACAAATGGCTTGTTTACAACTCCTGACTAGTTGCAGGAAATTGTAAACATAGTCTAAAAATGAATAAACAAAAGCCATAGCCAAGGAGAATTCAGAGCGTTCAATACACCTACTAATAAACCTATGTTTTTGAAATGTGGGAGGAAACCGGAGTACCCAAAAAAAACCCCAAGAGGCATAAGGAGAACTTGCAAACTCGACACAAGTAGGCTGGATTCGAACTGACGAATTCTGCACTGTGAAGCGGATGTGCTAACCATTTTTTTCCACCATGCTGCCATTGTCAGATTCATCAACAATGAAATGAAAGCAAAGCCCAGAAGGAAAAAAAAAATGTCCTAATTCACAAAACTGATATAATATATTCTGAATGGTTGATGCAAACAATGACATTGGTGGTTTGAGAGGTTCCCTTTACTCCATACAGGAATCCTAGCGTAAAAGATACACTGACAACAGTGTTTCCAGCGGAAAAAATTGTCAGTAACAGTGGCAACGTAAAATGGCGACATTCTGGCATCAGCGCTGAGGGGCCAATTTATAGTCCATTCATGTATAAGTCTGTGCTCTCTCTGCTGAAGCCAGAGGGCAGTGATCTCACATTGCCACTGTAACAGGTAACTTCTGTTATTCCACTGAAAACACTGTTATGGGTGCACTATGGTAGGATGGAGTGATAAGAGTCTCTCAAAGAACAAACTTCAATTTGCACCGACCATTCATAGTATATTATCTGAGCATCGCGAACTGAGACTTATAGAAGTTCGGTAAACATTTCACTGCAATTTCTTTCTTGATGAACTTTTCGCTTCATTGTTCATGGTTCTTATAACATGATGAATCTTAGAGGAGGACTCTGAGATATGAGAAAAAATGTCTACAGTAATTTCATTTTCACAGATGAAATGTGAATTTAGAGCTTCTCCCAGCCTTATGGGTATAACCATATGGCACACCCGGTGGAATTCTTGCCGTTGAGACAGAAAATCACATGAAAGTATCGCGGAGAAATCAATGTATTCAAGTTAGGCGTGCTTTGACAGTGACAACGCAAGATGGCCACCGGTGGCTTCATTTCTCACTACTGTCAGTGATGAGGCCTTAGCAATCCTGGTTAACGGTTCACCTCCATGCCTCTTATCTGGCAATCGCAGTTGATGACCATTGACCACATCATATTCTGGCCGTCGTGTGCAGTGGAAAATATGCATTTGCTGCTGGAGGTCTGTATATTTACTTGACTACTGCTCATAAAATAAACTCCCCCCCCCCTCCCCGATATGAAGGCACGTATATAGACGTGCAGACAGGCTTTGTGCTTGTACTAACAAAATGTAAGGTCATGAATCAGGTTAGTAGGAATAAAAGCGGAGAGCTGATGTTTGTTTGACTTTGGTGTGCAAAAGTATACTCTTTATTCTTATTATATATCCAACTTTATTTTGCCCCAAACCCTCCCCACCACCCAGCCCCCACAACCAATGACATTCCCATGTCACCAGTTACTGTCACTGTTACAATAGCCAATCAGAGTTCACCTGCAGAAAGAAGGCAACCAAACAAAGAAGAGCAGAAAAAAGGTTACTTTCAGTTTGTTTTTTCTTGTTAAATAGTAATAAATACATTGAGATGCAGTGGTTCTTACTTTATCCTTTTCTCTTAAGCAGAAGGGTTAAAAAGTTTTTGTTGTTTTTTTAACTTTCTGTTTCTATTCTTTTTATTTCTTTATTGATCTGTGTTGGATCTTTAGCAGCAATCCGGACCAGTTGTCATGGTGATTAGCAGCACAGAGAGGAGGAGCTGTCTGGAGAAGAAACAACAGGAGGAGAGGAAGACGAGAGGATGAGGAGAAGATCCCTGTGAATGCCAGGAAGGCATCAGTGTCCTGTCACCTTCTCTTCCCTCCACCTGCCTCTCTCCCTCTCTATAACACCTGTCACAACCGGGCTGAGAGTGACAGAGGGAGGACAACCCCCCGGCCCCCTTCAAAAAAACAAAAAAAAAAACAAACAAAAAACATAACCCACAGGAGAGAAAATCTAAGAGTCCTGAATCACACAGGTCGACGTTTCTCCTGTTGAAAGGAGGTACATATGTGTGTCTGCCTGTGTCTGTGCCGTAAATGAGAACATACCAATGCTGCAATTTGTAAACATGAAAAGTGTGCTCTCCTTCCACTTTCTGCATCCAAATGCAGTGAAATAGGAAAACAAGGGCCCTCCTCTTCACCCTCCTCCGCCTCCTCTCCAGGCTCAAACAACCAATAGAACACACAACTCCTCAAACCACAGAAGAAAAAAAAAATCAAATAATATTAAACAACAATAATAATATTAATAAAAACAAACTTGTCACCATCTTTCCTTTTCAAATGACAGTCGCAACAAAAGACAAAAAGTAAAACAGGATAAAAAGGAGAGTTTTCCCAGCATCCTCCTCCTCTCATGCAGTACAGACTGTCTCCTTCAGCACAAAGTTCACGTCTTTGTCTCTGAACTCTGGCTGTATGTGTGTAGTTGTCGTAGTTGTAGTTAAAATTGTATGGCTTTAGGGCATGGTTCAGGTTTTATCAAGAGTTGGCTGGCCCCTCGTCTGAGTCCGGCCGCCCTCTGCCCCCTGCAGCGGGGTTATTGTTGTTGGAGGCAGGGTAGTAGTCCTCAGGGGGCGGGGCTTGCGGCCCAGGGGCGGTGGGGGCCGTCCGAGTCCGGAAGGCAGACAGTCCGATTGGCAGAGCGAGTGGTAGGGAGGCAGAGCCAAATTGAGACGCCTCCATGGAAGACACCGCCCCCAGGTGATGCAGCCCTAGGGACACGCCCACATCCATGCTGTCACTCATCTGGGGCGAGGATCCCTGTTGGCCTCCCCCGCCGCCAATGCCCGTCTGTCCGCCTTGTCGCAGGCCACGCCCGCCGTTCCCGTGGTGGGAGTAGGTCGGGTGGGGATGATGGGGCTGGTCCAGGAAGTGGCGCTGGTGTTGTTGGGAGGCGGCCGGCTTGTGGAGCAGCAACTGGGTGTATGCTGGGTCCTGACCCCCACCTCCACCATCACTGCCTGGCCACATCCTCATCTGCTGCTGGGATGGAGCCTGACAGGTACAATGGTGCAAACACAAGGGTGAGACACACAGGGGGGCAACATTTTGAATATCCAGCTAGCTGGCATAAATATCACTGGATACTCTTTTCACACAGCATGAAGTACACCTGTACACTATCAAAGGAAACATTTTATTTTAACGATTGGGTCGGTTGCTTTTACAAAAGCTTGGATTCGGAGAGTTCCTAATTGCATCGTGCAGTTTTCACCTAGATGCAGTACATCACAAAACATGATAAAAAATACAATATCAACTATCGATGTTTGTAGGCCTACTTGCAAGTAAGCAAAGACACAAACATTCAACAGATACACTATGTACAGTGTATGTTTCAATTATGGCTTTGGTAAGCTTTTCTGACTGATCCCACACCCACCATGATCCATGTTAAGCCTACAGTGATGCTATTGTGTGCGTACCTGAGGGCTGGTCATCTCATAGTCTGAATGTGTCACAGCAGAGTTGTAATATCGGTTACTATAGCGATAGTTGCGGTTGTCATTGGAGGAACCACTGGAGCCACCTGGAAATAGAAGAGCAGCTTTCAGGGGAAGGAAATTTGATTCCGCTTTTTATGTCTACTGTTGTGCAGCGGTGCGGTGACGGTGCCGAGCACGTGTGCTTCCCAGTCGAGAGATTCTGGGTTTGAATCCTGACCTTTTTGCGGAGTTTGCATGTTCTCCCCATGATTGTGTAGCTTTTCTGCAGGCACTCCAACTTCCTCCCACATTCCAAAACATTCAGGGTCAGTTAAATGAAAACTCTATGGCTATGTTCACACTGCAGGTGAAATCAAATTCTTTTGCTCATATGTGACATGATTTTTTTTTTCATGTAATGTGAACAGTAGATTTCCATTTTTATTGTATTTATTTATTTTTTTTAACATCCAACCTCTCTTTTGTATACAGATAAACATAAATATGATGTCTTTCCGATACACCAGCAGAATGGACGCTTAGGGTGTGCTCATCCGATCTACACGTCAGCAAAAGCCGAATATGTGCTGCGTGTGTGTAGGAGGGAGTGGGGGCATGTTGGGCAGGTCGGATGGTTGTGGGATAGACCACAAATGATACAGCTACAAAGTTGTGAAGAGTAACAGTATTAATTTAATCTTTGACTTCAGTTTAATCCCA